TTCTGTCACAGAATTGGCTGTCTCTCCCCAACGTTTCTCCAGTGTTTGCAAGGCCTTAAAGTGAGGGGCTCGCGGGGCATCTGAGAGGATGTTGGGTGGGGCAGTGGGAATGAAGAGAATCCCTTGACTCCTTAGACGTTTTTCTGGAAGCTTCGTATTTTACCTTTGCTTCTTTCCTTGAAAGATTTAGAAACATAATCCTACTTCAGGCCGGGCGCGGTGGCTCATGCCTGTAATCCTAGCACTCCAAGAAGCCAAGACGGGAGGATCGCTCAAGGTCAGGAGTTCGAGACCAGCCTGAGCAAGAGCAAGACCCCCGTCTCTACTATAAATAGAAAGAAATTAATTGGCCAACTAATATATATAGAAAAAATTAGCCGGGCATGGTGGCACCTGCCTGTAGTCCCAGCTACTCAGGAGGCTGAGGCAGGAGGATTGCTTGAGCCCAGGAGTTTGAGGTTGCTGTGAGCTAGGCTGATGCCACGGCACTCACTCTAGCCTGGGCAACAAAGCGAGACTCTGTCTCAAAAACAAAAAGAAATTAGCCAGACAACTAAAAGCATATAGAAAAAATTAGCCAGGCATGGTGGCGCATGCCTGTAGTCCCAGCTACCTGGGAGGCTGAGGCTAAAGGATCGCTTGAGCCCAGGAGATTGAGGTTGCTGTGAGCTAGGCTGAGGCCACAGCACTCTAGCCCGGGCAACAGAGTGAGACTCTGTCTCAAAAAAAAAAAAAAAAAAAATTAATAATCCTACTTCAGATTTCTCAAGTGGCTTTGAATAATGAACCCTCATCTTCTTTACCATTTCAGTTTCTTCCTCAATAAAATAACCAGACTTGTCTTTCTGAGTCCCGTGAAGCTGGGTGGGTGGGTGGGTGGGAGGTCTGAATTGGATTGACACGATGCAAGCAATCCGCTTGTCTTCTGTAGGACCCTTCAGTCTAGGGAGATGCTGGGACTGAACCACCAGTCTCCAAAGAGGCTCCAAAGCAAAGTCCTTCCTCTAGGCTACAACTCCCAATCAAAACCATCATCTCAGAGGCCCTGTGGCCATATTGGCCAGAATGGATGAGGGTGAAAGATTGGGAAGGGATATAATAGGTGTTTTTTTTTTTTTTCAAATTGGAGTCCTTAAGTGCCTCCTGAGATCTTACTGAATGCTTAATAAACTAGAAATTGTTATAGAACATCCTGTCTGATGACTGTAGTCATGGTCCGTGTAGGTGTGAGCTGAGGTGTTCATTGTCCTGTTTCAATGAGAACTTCCATTGTTCCTGCCATCAAGATGTTTTCCCACTGAAAGAGGCTCTCTTCAGTGGAAGTGGGAGTGGGATGGGGAGGTGTTCATCACTTCCTCCCAATTTCCCCTTCAAAGGCTCTCCCTATTTCACAGTTTTGTGCTAGAGGCACCTAGCAGGGGAGCCTTAATGAAATTAGGATCTCCCATCACACCTCTCCTCCATGAACAGAAAGAACTATTGGTTAAGGAACCATTATGCACGCTTGCTGTTGCTTTAAAATAGACTTTATTTTTCAGAGCAGTTTCAGGTTCACAGCAAAATTGAGAGGCAGGCACAGAGATTTCCTATACACCCCTGCCCCCACATTGCACAGTATTCCCCATCATCAATATGCCCTACAGGAGTGGCACATTTGCTACGTAATTGATGAACCTACATCGATACATCAAGATCATACGAAGTCCACAGTTTACGTTAAGTATAAGGCCAGGCGTGGTGGCTCATGCCTGTAATCCCAGCACTCTGGGAGGCCGAGGCGGGCAAATTGCTCCAGGTCAGGAGTTCAAAACCAGCCTGAGCAAGAGCAAGACCCCGTCTCTACTAAAAATAGAAAGAAATTAATTGGCCAACTAATATATGTATAGAAAAAATTAGCCGGGCATGGTGGCGCATGCCTGTAGTCCCAGCTACTCGGGAGGCTGAGGCAGGAGGATCGCTTGAGCCCAGGAGTTTGAGGTTGCTGTGAGCTAGGCTGACGCCACAGCACTCATTCTAGCCTGGGCAACAAAGCGAGACTCTGTTTCCAAAAAAACCCCCAAAATACATTAAGTATACATGAGGGTTCATTCTTGGTTTTGTGCATTTCGTGGATTTAGGCAAATGTATAAAGACATGTCTCCACCATTGTAGTATCATACAAAGTAGTTTCACTGCCCTTAAAATACCTACTCATCGCTGTCTCTCACCAACCTGTGCCAACCACTAGTCTTTTTACTGTCTCCGTAGTTTCACTCTTTCCAGAATGTCATATATTTGGAATCATACAGCATGGGGTCTACATAGTTTTTGAACCTCTACGCTGTACCTAGAACATGGCTTAAATTGCATGCTTATTTATACACATGCCCACACAAATTCACATGAATTCCAGAAACATTTATTGCGTCAGACACTAACCCACAAAAGTGGACAATGCCCTGGAAAAATCTTTCATGGGGAGAGCTCATGAAGGAATCAAACTCAGGAAATCACACAACTGTCTCGAGAATCCATGCCACACTGTGTTGTGCATGGAAAATGTTAAAGGAGATTCCTACAGGGGGTGACAACAGTGAGCCTCAGAAGAGGTGAATTTTTTGGCAGAATCTCATGAAATGTTTGTCAGGCAGAGAAGGAAAACAGGCATCCTGAACAGAAGCAGTAGCAGGTACAGGATCATGGTTAAGAAAGAACAAACTGTGTTCAAGGAATGATAACAACAACAAAAAGCTTCATGGCTGTTGAACAGCATAGGAAAGACAGTCTTAGGAAGACAGAATCACCACACTCTAGAATTTGAACTATATTCTGCAAGCAGTGGAAACCAATAAAAGTTGTTAAGCAAAGGAAATAAATGTTCACATTTATATCTTAGAAAGATAACTCTGGGGCCAGCAGAAAGGGTGGATTTGAGAGTGAAATCAGAGTACTATTTCTCTCACTAACTGCATGAAGATTGGGGAAATAGAGCATATTAAAATGAAGATTCCTGGGCCCACCTTTTTAATGATCGAATCAGAATCTCTGGACTCATGGCCTGGGAATCTGCATGTGTAGCATCTCTAACATAAGTCTTGTGGGCTTTAAAATCTGAGAAATAGACTAGAATCACAGGGGCCAGTTGGGAAGCTTTCGCCCAGGTGAATTAAGAAATGAAATGAGTTAGAAATGTACATGATGCCTCTCCTGACTAGCTCGGGAAGAAAACAAATGTTTTAAGACAATTGAGTAATTAAGTGTTACACTATGTTCCAGCCTGCTCTGTGATGTTGATCAAGTCATTTGATACCTTAACCACACTATTTTTAAATGACAAGGCCTTCATATGCATAACCTTGGGTGCCTCGAATTCCCTGGCGTTAGGTATTTTATCATCTTCAATTAACAGGTTAAATGGAGAGACTGGATGTTTCACAGGGAGATAGCAACGTTCTTATTTGTTTGCTTGTTTGCCTGTCGCCTCACGTACTAAGTCCCAGGAGAGCAGAAATCTGCTGTCTCCTAGACGTCGATGGGGCAACCGTGCTTGGCATAAAGTATTAATAGGCTCACAGCGAATACTTTCTGTAAAAATGAAAGCTGGAAAGATGGAGAAAAACAGAAAGAAAGAGATGATGCATTGTCATGGAAAAGATAGAATATTGGGCAGGGAATTAAGAAATTCAATTTTTTTTTTTGAGACATTGTCTCACTTTGTTGCCAAGGCTAGAGTGCCGTGGCTTCAGCCTAGCTCACAGCAACCTCCAATTTCTGGGCTCAAGCGATCCTCCTGCCTCAGCCTCCCGAGTAGCTGGGACTACAGGCATGTGCCACCATGCCGCTAATTTTCCTATTATATATAGTTGGCCAATTAATTTCTTTTTTTTTTTTTTTTTTTTTTGAGACAGAGTCTCGCTTTGTTGCCCAGGCTAGAGTGAGTGCCGTGGCGTCAGCCTAGCTCACAGCAACTCAGACTCCTGGGCTCAAGCGATCCTCCTGCCTCAGCCTCCCGAGTAGCTGGGACTACGGCATGCGCCACCATGCCCGGTAATATTTTCTAATATATATTAGCTGGCATAATTTCTTTCTATTTATGTAGAGACGGGGTCTCGCTCCTGCTCAGGCTGGTTTCAACTCCTGACCTCAAGCAATCCGCCGTCTCGGCCTCCAGAGAGCTAGGATTACAGGCGTGAGCCACGCGCCCGGCCTGGCCAATTAATTTCTTTTATTTATAGTAGAGATGAGGGTCTCGCTCTTGCTCAGGCTGGTTTCGAACTCCTGACCTCGAGCAATCCGCCCGCCTCGGCCTCCCAGAGTGCTAGGATGACAGGCGTGAGCCACCGGGCCCGGCCGAGATTCAATCTTTATTTCAACTATTTATTCCACGCCAACGAGGTACTAGATACCGAAGATACCTGTCCTTAAGGTGTTGACAATGTCAGTTTTTGGGTTTGATTTGGCGCGGAACCCTGACAAGTCTTAAGCTTCAGGCCTTAGTTCCTGGTTGGTAGAAGGAGGGGCTGGCCAAAAGTTAGAGGACACGAAAGTCCTTCCCCGATGCCACTTGGCGATTAGTCGGCTTCCCCTCCTCGCCGCAGGTGGCCCTTCCGCAGTGAGCGGGAGGACGCGCCAGGCGCCACCGGGACCTGTCCGCGCCGGGGGAGCAGAAGTGTCGCTGCTCCCCAGACCTGCTTCTCAGTATCAGATCTGGAGGCGGCAAACGATGTGGCAGTAACTGCTCGTTGGCCAGTGTGTCCCGGGTGCAGAGGCCGGCCCCGGCCCCCTCCGGGCGTCGCAGGGCCCGCGCGCGCGTCCCGGCTGGAGTGTCCCGAGCCCTGGGAAGAAGGCGCGCGGCGGGGCCGGGCGCGGGCGGATGTCCGGCCTTCCCGGGAGGGCGCCGTCCAGCACTCCGGCAGGAGGAGCCGCCCGGAGCGGGTGGGGAGGGGGGACGCGGCGGGGTCTCCCGGGGGCGGTAAAAGGGCGGGGGCGTGCGCGGCCGGGTGTCAGTTTCGGAACCCCAGCCCGCCCGCCTGCGCCTCGCGGCACCGGATCGGAGCCTCCCGCCCGGGCCCGTCCCCTCCTCTGCCCGCCCGCAGCTCCCGCCGCCTGGGCACCCGCGCCCCGCTCTGCGGCGCCCCGCATCTCCCCCGGCCCGGGGCCCTTCGCGCGTTTCCTCTGCGGTGCTTTGCTCCGGGGGACTTTTCTGTTTGTCTGTCTCCTTCCTCTTCCCTCTTTGTTGCTCTGAAAACCGGCCTCGCCAGAGCCCCCGACTCCGCGGGGAGTTGGGCTCCTGGAGAAAGGCGGCCGCCGCGCCCCGCACCCGCCCCGCCCGCCCGCGGCCCCGCGCGACAGCCGGTGCGCCCTCCCCGCCGCCTGGCACGCCGCCTGCGTCCGTTCGCCCGGGAAGCCGGCCGAGACCTCATTGATGCACCCATTCCAGTGGTGTAACGGTGAGTCCCGGGGCGGGGGGCGAGCGGACCCGGGGCCCCGCGGGAGGCGCGGGGTTGGACGGCAGAGGGCACGTCCTCCCCCCCTGCAGCCAAGTTTCTAATGAAACGGGACGGTCGAGGAGGCGTCCTGGCGCCCAACTCCGCTCGGCACAGCGCGGAATTTGAAATAATCCAGTTTTGAGTCGAGGGTCTGGAAGGGCCTCTGAACTTGCGGCGGGCCGGGGGCGTGGGAGCCGAGGGGTCCCCGGCCTTTGTGTGGCGGCTCGGCTCTCCTACCCCCTTCCCCTGCCTTTGTGCGCTCAAACTCTGTTCTTTGTTGTGGGTGGTGGAGGAGAATTAAATCCGCGCTCGGGCTAGGATCTCCTAGAGGGAGCTCAAGTTCCGGGCCTGAAACTTTGCAGGCTATTTTAAATATGTATACAATGCAACGTGCGGGACGGGGTGCAGGGGCGGCTTCCTCGCTCTTTGTTGCCTTCCCACGGGCTGCTAGCCGGGCCTCGCGCCTGCGGGAGACGCTGGATTAAAGAGTCGCTTTATGGAGTCGCCAAAGCCGTGCACATCTCCCGGCGCTCGGCTGTCCCTGGGGTGCGGGGACTGGCCGGTCCCGAGCTGTGCTTTCTGGCCCCGAGGCCAGACGGGGTGTCTGCTCCCGAGCCCAGGTGGAGACCGCGCCTCCAGACCCAGCAACTCCTCCCCTGCCCCTCCCCCCCCCGTCCCCCCCAGTTTCTCCCAGGCCTGGGTGGTGTTGCTAAGCTAGTGCATTTCACCTGAGGCTTTTTGGCAGTTCAGGTCACACAGGTTGGACTCCTCACCCAAGCTACCTGAAAAGGAAGCTCTTTCTGAGTAGGTCACTTAAAACCCTTAGATACTTTCTGAGCAGGTCACCTAAAAAACCCTAGCTGCTAACACCCCTCCACCCCCGACCCCCCGTGGTCCTTTGACTGCGTTGTTTTAATGCTTCCAGAATTTCTGGGAGGGGGAGATGGGAAGCAGCTGGCCATATCTCTCAGTATGTATGGCAATCTGGCTAGTTAGGGAGAAAAAAAAAAAAAAAGAAATCCATTCTTGAGAGTAGGCTCCTGCCAGATCTTGGATTAATTATTTCAAGAGGCTTTTGTTTTAAGGCAGAGTTTGGGCAGCATGTGTCTGGGTGTCCCCCTCCTCCCCCTTCCTCCTTTCGCTAGTCCGATCTCATTTCCTGAAAACGAACCGAGCCGCGTGTGATAGGTGGTTTCGCCGGCCGAGGGGCGGGGGATGGGGGGTTGAGGGAGGCCGGTGCATCCCAGCATCTGGGAAAGATTCCCGCTGGCTGGGAAGCAGAAGCAGTTCCCAGATCCCCGGGTCTTTCTTGGCCAGCCCTGCTCTGACGTCATTCTTGCTCCCAGCCTGCCCGATAAGATGAGCCATTCTGATGTCAGGGCGTTCTAAGGTTGGCATAGACAATGGAACGAGACTTGGGGAGAAGAAAGGAGGCCGTTGGTCAGTAACACTGGCTTTTCTGCTAGGCTGCCTCCTTTTCTGTGAAGTTTTACATTGCTGCTTTTAGCTTCACTTCTTACAGTGACTGGCAAGATCCTGTTTTTTGACTCCAGTTGAGAGCCCAGAGCCCCTCCCTCACTCTTCTGGAAAAGATCGGGTGCCCTTCCTTTCTTGGGGTTGGTATTCTCTGTGCTTATAAGTTTTAGAGGGAAAACTTACTCCACTGTCAGAAGACTATTTTTCAATTTCTCTTTAATAGTAATATATATGCAAACGGACCATCTTCTCTTGACCATGAAGTTCTCCTGACTTAATGTCTTTATTGCAAGAAGTCCCAAGCTCGCTGACAAGATCCTACAGCCCCAGGGAAAGCTTTTATCAGACAGGATAAGATAGTGAAGGGAAACTGATCTGAGGACCAGGAGGTGGGGGGGGATCAGTTTACCTGCAGAGAGTACATGCATGTACCCTTTGCAGGGGCCACGGTTTTACGCATTCCCATACCAATCGTCAGCTTATAAGGATGCACGGAAGAGCCAAGGCAGGTGGTGTGTTAGACTCTCTTGTAGCATCAAATATTGCTGAGGCTGGAGGTGAGGAGATGGCTGGGGGCCCAAGGCATTGGCATGGAGAACAGTTTTCTGGAAGAAAAGTCCTGAGGCCCTTATCCAGTGTAGACTGCGGGTTATCCTTCTTTAGTTGGTCTATCTAGCATGATGTCTTCATGGAAAATGGACCTTCCTTGGCCCACAGAGAGCAAATATTTGAGTGGGAAGGGGTAGCAAAAACTATTCTTTCTTTCTAACCCCTACTGCAGCCTAAAAGCAAGGCACAGCACAGTTTAGTAGCTATTTCTTTAATTTCAACTTAATTGAAAAGTCTTTCAGAATAAGGACTACTTTTACTTTCTGTTTTCCCACAATGTGTAGGTCAGTTCACAAAACAGGCTCTCAGAAATACTTGTGTGTTGACTAGTGATCTGTTAGCTGAGGGCAGTTTCTGGGCAGTTTTCCCAAACATCAGTCTTGTTACTTTGAGTGGCAAAGTGGCAGCTTTTGCCAGGAGGACCAGGTTATTTTGAGCAAATGGGGAGTTATTTATCTATTAACTAGTTATTGAGAACAAGCCAAACACTGGGGCAGGATAGACGCTGGAGAATTTGCAAAAGTCCAAGCTGGTGTCCTCAGACTTAGGAGTATTGAGGCTTGTTAGGAGGACTGTACTCACTTAGTGACAGTCTCATCTTTGTTCTCAGGATTATAGACACATCTCTGGTACGGTACCTCATTGTCTATGGTGAAGTCCATGTTGTCTGTCTTCTTCCCAACATGGTGAGGTCATCCATTCATTCTTCTATGTGTCTATCCCAGTACACCCACGTGGGGTGGTATTGGAGAACATTTAGTGGAAAATTGCAAGGCAAAAGGGTACATGCTTAGGAATCAAAGCCAGTTAGGAGTTTGGAAAATACACGATAGACCAAGTGGGAGGATGTGTCAGGCATATGGGGTAAATGAGAGAAGGAGCCAGAAATAGGGATGACATCAATTAGGAAACAGTAGTAGTAGGTAATGAGCGTTTGGATGGGGACATGGCAATAGAATTGAGCACAACCTAAAAGAGGTTTGAGGCCCGGTGCGGTGGCTCACACGTGTAATCCTAGCTCTCTGGGAGGCCGAGGTGGGCGGATCGTTTGAGCTCAGGAGTTCAAAGCCAACCTGAGCAAGAGCGAGACCCCTTCTCTACTATAAATAGAAAGAAATTAATTGGCCAACTAATATATATAGAAAAAAAAATTAGCCAGGCATGGTGGCGCATGCTTGTAGTCCCAGCTACTCAGGAGGCTGAGGCAGGAGGATGGCTTGAGCCCAGGAGTTGGAGGTTGCTGTGAGCTAGGCTGACGCCACAGCACTCACTCTAGCCTGGGCAACAAAGCGAGACTCTGTTTCAAAAAAATAAAAATAAAAGAGGTTTGAATGCAGGATCATTATGTGGGCAACAGGTGTAAGGGATGAAGTTTAATGAGATATATGATATCAAAGCTGACTTTCAGTCTTTCAAGCCAGCCTTCTGCTGAGTTCTGGTAGCACTGACAATTAGAACGTAGGACTCTGCAGTATCCTAATGGGTCCTGGCTCCTAACCAAGATGTCAGGAAAGTGCCTAGAACCCAAGACCTGAGTACAGAGAGGCTTTTGGAGCTAGGCCTTCTTAGCTATTTGACTGTGGGTGGATTATTTAATGATTGAGTTTTTTTTTTTTTTTTCCCCATTGGTGGGGGAAGTAACAATGTCTTACTGTGGCATTGCAAAGATTGAGTTGGTAGCATGAGAATGGGCTTGGGATGTAGCAAGCATTCAGTAAATTCCAGCGTTCTCGTTAATCAAGGATTCTTCTCTCTTTCCCTTTGTGCTCTGCCATCCTGGGCCATTTGATTTTTTTTATGGGTCTGCTCCCTTTCCAGCTACAGCTTGGCCATCACCACTCTAGGTATCTTGGAAAGACATGACAAAATAAATAAATAAAGCTTTCATTTTTCTGGCAGACCTTCTCTTTGTTTCTTTGCCTAGAACCTGGTCACATACCCACCTCAGCACCAGGTACTGGCAAGGAGGAAGTGACTATCAGGATGAGTAGACCAACCAGGATTTGTCACTGAGTCACATGTGCAGGGCAGCATCTAGTGGCTAATGGTGCTTCTTAAAGTGACTGTGCAGAGGATCTTGCTAAAATGTAGATTCTGATCCATTTAGTCTGGGTGGGCCCCAGTGTCTGCATTTCCAACAAGCTCCCAGGGAGCGCTACTGTTACTGGGACTGTATTGTCGAGGCTTTGATTAAAAAGGGAGAAGGTTGGCTCGGGGTAGTGGCTCACGCCTGTCATCCTAGCACTTAGGGAGGCCCAGGCGGGAGTATTGCTTGAGTTCAGGAGTTCGAAGCCAGCCTGAGCAAGAGCAAGACCCCATCTCCACTAAAAATAGAAAAAATTAGCCGGGCATGGTGGCACGTGCCTGTCGTCCCAGCTAGTCGGGAGTCTGAAGCAGGAGGATCGCTTGAGCCCAGGACCTTGAGGTTGCAGTGAGCTATGATGACACCACAGCACTCTAGCCCGAGAGACAGAGCAAGACTCTGTCTCAAAAAAAAAAAAAAAAAAAGTTAAAAGATTAAAAGAAAAGGAAAAGGGGGAAGGTGACCAGTAAGGGAAGCTGCAACTGCCCTTCCCAACCCCCATCTCCACTTTCTGGAGTGCTGGCCTGGCCTTGGAGTGAACAATTTCTATTCTAGTCCTGGCACAGCTTGTGTTCTGGAGCAGGTGGCTTAATAATGACAAATGACCTTTGCAATTGCACTTTGCAATTTACAAAGCACCGTCATTTTCAGTCCTCTTTTTGGCTTGTTTTTGTATGACAAAGTGAAGCTCAGAGAGGTAACTTTGTAAGGGTCACGCACAGGTAGGCAGAGGTGGCGTTGGAACCCCAATAGTATATTTTCTGACCTAAGGCTCTTCATCTTGCTGTTGCACTATGCCATGCTTCTCCCTGGTGGAATTAAGTTTTCTGTTTTCTGCCCATTGCTTGAATCCTTGATCCCTTAGATGGGAGTAGTGTTTTGAGTACTTTAGACAGTATTCCATTTTTGTCAATTGGTTAAGGAATTTACTCAAGCATACAGAGCTAGGAAATGTTACTGCTGGGCTATAAAAGTAAAAGCCACCACCCGAATCAGAGGCTCAGGACCCCCAGAGCCTGCCAATTCTCTTTCTGTCCTCGCTGGCACGGTGCCAACAACCTCAGTGGGCAATTTCCAACCCTAATGAGATTTTTTTTTTTTTCTGCTCCCTTTGCAGGGTGTTTCTGTGGCCTGGGACTGGTGAGTACCAACAAGTCCTGCTCGATGCCACCCATCAGTTTCCAGGACCTTCCCCTCAACATCTACATGGTCATCTTTGGCACGGGCATCTTCGTGTTCATGCTCAGCCTCATCTTCTGCTGCTATTTTATCAGGTGAGTGGATCGCGGCTGACCTGGGGGGTGGGAGGAGGGAGTCCAGCAGAGAGGAGGAGGCCAGACAAGATGAGCAGAGCCGCTGCTTGGGGACATGGCTAAGCCTGTTCTTCTCCACCCCCCCCCCAAACCAGGCCTGATGTTTCTATTTATATCAGCCTATCAGGTTGTCCCCAAGCATATAAGGTCACCGCGGGTTGGGCTGCCACCCACCTCTTTCTTGGTCACTTATTCTAAGGTTGCCTAGAATTTGCTGTCCGACTGCATAACAAAGTTGGTAGTCCCTTAACTGAATTTCTCGACTCCCAGCTCATGCCCTCTGGGTGGCCAGGCACAAGTGGGCATCAGTGGCATGTTCCTCTGCCCCCCCCCCCCCCCCGGGAAATCCTGTTGTCAGCCCTCCAGACGCTAATATTAGCAAGCTGATGTCTGGAGAGCTCCTTGTTTATTCTGCCTTGCAAGCTCTTACTTTTGAGAGTAGGGGTTGGGGGGGTGGTGTGGAACAACTAAAAGCATCACTTATTCTTAATTGCTTAGGGATCCAGGAAAGGATATGAGCTTGGCAGGGCTATTTCTCTGCCTCTTCCTGAAAGCCATAGAACTTGGTGGCTGTTTTCTAGAAAAAAAATGTGGGGCACGACTGGTATGTAGAGTGGAAATCAAAGTAGTTGTGTTTCTGACTGGGGTGTGCTGTTGATATTGACAATTCCTCATTGTGCGGGGCCGGCACAATGAGTGTTGAACATCGCTGGCCAGTGGGACAGGCCAGTAGTCCTTACGGCCACGCCACGCGACCCCCGACCCCCTTCCCTGCCGCCACCCACACCTCACCAGTGGCCTGGGTAGACATCAGCTGGGGTCTAGGCTGGTGTCTGATCAAATCGTTTAAGAAGATTACATTAAGATTAAGGAAAGGGAGTCTTTGCTCGCTACTGAGATGCCCTGCTGGGTTTGAGTGCTTCTCTGCAAGGCAGCTAGAGCAGAGGCAGGTACTTAGCCATCTTCCCTAAGGCGGAAAGAGCTGCCTCTAAGAAGGGGAAGTGGCCTCAGGTGGTGCTCCCAGTTGCCACCTTGGGCTTCTTCCTTCTCAGAACCTTTCAAACAGGTCCGTCCCTAGCACTGGAATTTTCCACTGCAAAGTCTATGCAGTGGAGACAGTGGTTTATTTTCCCTCTTGTACAATTGGGTCTGGAGTTTGCCTCTATTAGGTGGGAGGAGGGGTAGATTTCTGGTACTTCTCCCTCCCTTCCCTCCCATTCCCCTTGTCTGAAGCTTGTTTTTTTCCTGGCCACCAGCCTCACCCCTGCGCCCTCCTGGTAAGCAATTCACGAAATTCCTGGAAAACCATGACGAAGACAGCCCAAATACCAAAGATTTACTTAGGATGAGGCTGGAGGAGTGTGTAAAACCGACTCTGGTTGGTCCCTTCCCTCTCCCCCCACCCACGCCTATAGACACACACACACACACACACACACACACACACACACACACACACGCCAGGCAGCAAAGGTGGTCTATGCAGGCAATCTAGAGAAAATCACTCTGGGCTAGGAAGTGGGTAACCCGGGTTCACTTCCTAATCCAGCCACTAATCAGTGTGACCTTAGGTGAGTTTTTAGCTATTCTTTACTTTCTGTGTGCCAGGCATTGTGGTCAGCATTTTGTAAACCATCTAGCTCACTTAATCCTTAGTTTAGGTATTAGCCCACTTTATAAATGAGGAAGTTCATGCTCAGCCGGTTAAGGATTTTGCCCAAGGTCATGCATCAGGGAGGGTACAGAGGTGGGCTAGTCTGGTAGCATTTAGCCAGAGTTATTCCGATTCCTTCCACGTGTTCGCCTTCTGTGTGGCTTATTCCTTCCTGGGAAATGGGGGAGGCAACCGTAGCATCCTCTGCCTTTACGGCTAGGAGCTGGGGTCCCGCAGCAGGACCAGCTGGGGCGCTGTGTATGGCTGAGTTCTTTTGCTCCAGCCAAGCAAAAAGAGCAGAGCAGTAACCACATGGTGCTAAGAGCCGTCCCCACTGCGGTGCCGCCCTGCTGTGTGCAGCTTGCCACCACCTGTCCCTTCTGCAGTAATCTGCTCCCTTGTCACCCCACCCTCTGTTCTGCCTGCCCGAAGCCAGTTGACCCTGGAGTTGCATGGTCCCAGAGGCTCACTGGTATGTGGTGGCCTGCGTGTGCCTATATATAGAAAGACACACAGGCATAGAAGCTACCACTTCCTCCGCCTGCTTCTCGGTTTCCTCCTCAGCCAAAAGAGGCCCATGACTACTACGGCTCCCCGGCCTGGTGAGCTCATCGGCCAAGGCCGGCCTCCCCCCCTGCTCCCCCTTCCCCGCTCCCTCGGGGCTGACCCCTGCCCTCCCCAGGACGGAGGGGCCGGGAAGCACAAGCAGGCAGGAAGGGGAATAGTTATTTTCAGGACCTGGCTGCATTGTTGGTTCTAAAGGGGAGAAGAGGAAAGGGGAAGCCCACCAGCAGGGGCCAGAAATGGTCTCATATTGCAAAAAATTGGGGGGGGGGATATTTTTAGTCGCTTTGCTCATCCAACAGCTGAGAAAGCCACCTGTCCGCAGCTGCTGGCACGACGGCCCCGGCTAGGAGGGCCTGGGGTCTTTGCTTTTTTGCTTGTTTTTCTTTGCAACCTTTTTGGCCCAATTGCAATCACCATCTCGTCCCGGCTGAGCTGAAATCTGTGTGTGTGACGAAGGGACGGCACTGAAGTCCTTCCCCACCATGAGCCAGACGGGAGGGATGGGTGCAGGGGAGGGGACACCCTGGGTACCTAGGAGGGCGCAGCGTGTGCTGTGTGAGTACAGCCATGTGGCAGGCGAGACTGTGTGACAGCCCCTCCTTTCTGCAGACAATTACAAACATAGGCCCGCCACCACTTCCTTGTTTACTCTGCACGTAGCTCGGAACAGAGCAGCAGCGTCCTCCTTCCTCAGAAGGTGGCTGTGAGCTGTGAGCCCTGGCATGGGAGCGCTTCCGCCTGCCCAGGTCACCCCAGCGCTAGGGAGCAGCTGCTCACATGAGCTCTGGACGCGCCCTTCCCTGCCTCTCCCCTTTGGAAGTTGCATGCATAAAGGCCTTGCCTGGATTAAGGAGGTCTCTGCACAGTTAAGGAGGGGACAGTGGGGGACCTGGTTATACGGTTTAGCCACTGCTGCAACGAGCAGGAAGCCAAGAGTGCAGGGGCGGGAGGTGGCCCATGGCAGGGGTCCGCTGGGACTTGGGTTCTCCGGGCTCCAGGAACACACAGCCTCCCCCGGTCACCTGGCAGCCTGGTCCCATCTGCCCCGAGCTGTGCTTCGGGCCTGGCTCTGCCCGACCTTCTGTGTCCTCCGTCACCCAGGGAGCATCTCTTGCCCCCTTTGATTGGGGCTCTCTATGATTTGAGGTTCTCTTGTTTTTTTTTTTTTTGTTTGTTTGTTTTTTTTTGAGACAGAGTCTCGCTTTGTTGCCCAGGCTAGAGTGAGTGCCGTGGCGTCAGCCTAGCTCACAGCAACCTCAAACTCCTGGGCTCAAGCAATCCTCCTGCCTCAGCCTCCCGGGTAGCTGGGACTTACAGGCATGCGCCACCATGCCTGGATGATTTTTTTCTATATATATTAATTGGCCAGGGCTGGGCGTGTGGCTCACGCCTGTAATCCTAGCACTCTGGGAGGCCGAGGCCGGCGGATTGCTCGAGGTCAGGAGTTCGAAACCAGCCTGAGCGAGACCCTGTCTCTACTATAAATAGAAATTTATAAATAGAAAGAAATTAATTGGCCAACTAATATATATATACAAAAAATTAGCTGGGCATGGTGGCGCATGCCTGTAGTCCCAGCTACTCGGGAGGCTGAGGCAGGAGGATCACGTGAGCCCAGGAGTTTGAGGTTGCTGTGAGCTAGGCTGACGCCACGGCACTCACTCTACCCTGGGCAACAAAGTGAGACTCTGTCTCAAAAAATATATATATATATTAGTTGGCCAATTAATTTCTTTCTATTTTTAGTAGAGACGGGGTCTCGCTCTTGCTCAGGCTGGTTTCGAACTCCTGACCTCGAGCGATCCTCCCGCCTCGGCCTCCCAGAGTGCTAGGATTACAGGCGGGAGCCACCGCACCCGGCCCGAGGTTCTCTTTTGCTAACTTGGGGGCAGCACTCTGTTTTCTTTAAACGGTCATATAGTAAATATTTTCAGCTTTGGGCACCCCGAGGACTGTATTAGGACTCCCCAACTCCCGCTAGAGCACAGAAGCAGCCACGGGCAGTATGTCAACCACGAGCATGGCCGTGTTGCAGTGAAACTTAATGGACACTGAAATTTGAATTTCATATCCTTTTCATGTGTCAGGAGATGTTATTCTTTATTTCTGTTTTCAACCGTTTGAGAGTAAAAGCCATTCTTAGCCTGTGCACCCCTATGAAAATGGGTGGTGAGCTGCATGCAGCCCTCAGACCGGAGTTTCCTGGCCCTGCCCTGGCTTGCCGGGTTTCTGACGCTTCCTTGTGATCCGCCAGGGCCTGTGTTAGGATGATCAGGGGGAGAAATCCCCCACAGTTTCCCTCGTTGTAGCCCATCTGAAGCTACCTGCAAGATGTGGAGAGAGAAAGTCCCCTCCCCACCCCTGAAAATGGCACAGCACTGAGTGCATGATTATGGCCCCAGCCATTTGCATGGTGAGCCATTCAGAGTTTGTAGGGTGTGTCCCAAGACCAGACCGTAGTCTCGGGACTATGACGTATTTCACCTAATTAGAGGAACAGGCCACATTATGCGGTGGAGAGCTTGGGCCCTGTAATCACATAGACTTTCATTCACATCCAGCCTCTGCTGCCAGCCAGCGCAGTGACATTTGAGCAAACTACGTGATTTCTTTTGGGCTTCGTGTTCATCCATAAAAAGGGAAGGCATCTCCCTCCTAAAGTCTGTCTGGAATCCGTGAGGACATGTATGAGCAGATTAGCGTCACGGCAACACGTAGCGAGTATCCCATAACCGCGACGCTATTGCCACTAGTAACGGCACGCTATGCGCCGGTCATTGAGAGCTAGGCCGTGTGCAGGCCACCAGCTTAAAATGAAAGGAAGAGAACAAAGAAGGCATCGTCTGTGTTGTTTGGCACCGCGAGGGGAAGAGTGTGCTTTGCTTCCAGAATGCTTGTGTTCTCCGGGTGGAAAATTCCCCAGGGTCAACAGAGACTTATTTATCCTGCTGTCCTGGCTTAATGGGAATGTCCCTTTTAAGAATATCTATCTGCCTCCTTCTGTGCACTCAGTAAGCACATTGTTGGTACGTTTAGTTTGGGCACCTGAAGGAATTTACCTATTGGGAAAGAGCGGGGGAAATGAATGAACTATTTGGGGGGACTCTCTTGGCAGAGCACCCCCATTCTGCGTGTGAGAGCTGGCGGAGGAATTCTGAGGCTTTCAAGGGTCCTGTATGGGTCCAAGCCACCCCCCATGGTGTCTATGGGACAAGCCCTCCCCACCTCTGGAAGAATGCCCACCGGGCAGCCAGCCGGCCTTTCCTGCACTGAGTTGCTCTACGTGTGCAAAGGCTTAGTAACCTGCTTTCTCTCCTCCTCTGTCTCCCCCAGCAAACTCCGGAACCAGGCACAGAGTGAGCGATATGGATATAAGGAGGTAAAGTGCCACGTGCTTCCCTGAGATTCCCTCCTACTGCTTGCCCTGATAAGAGAAGGGGAAAGGAAGGGCCCCCCCCTTTCAAGCTCCCCTGGCCTGGAATCCCCCTCGGCCTCCCCACTGGGCCTCCCTGAGGCTAACTCCTTTCACTGTCCCCAAGTCTGGCTTGCACCAGGCAGTCCAGAGCCCTCCCTGTCACGAGAGAGAGCGAGTCGCCCCTGCAAGAGGCTGGGGACTTAGTTGGTGCTACCTGGCTGGCCCCTGTGGTTGGTTTCTTCGGACATCATGCCTCTTCTTTCTCCCCAGGTGGTGCTTAAAGGTGATGCCAAGAAGTTGCAGTTATATGGGGTAAGCGCACTGGGTCAGCGTGGGGGGGACCCCAGCCTGGAAGGCAGGTGGCACCTTTCTCTCCAGCTCTCAGCCTGGACCCTTTCAGGAATCTCCTTAGCCCCTGCCTTCCTATCTCTTTTGGCCAAGTAAAAGGGACTCACCGCGGCAGGGGATCAATATATGGAATTCATTATGTCTTCAACCAGCTCGGGCAGAAGACATGAAGGGTTTGGATAAGCAGTGACAGACACGTGGCCCCAGGAATCTGGCAATGTGTAGTGCCTAAGGGGAGGATGGACACAGCACTGCACGCCTCAGACAGATTGCAGCTGGCTTCCCCCGTGTTCAGCTCCTACATCCCAGTTCCACTAAAATAATAACACTAATAATAGTAATAATAAGGTCTTTTTACTCTGGAGTATACTCCATCCTAACAGACTGTATCTGACTAGTGTGCTCGTTCCTGCGTCTCTTCCCTGTTTGCCCTCGTTTCCCCCCCAGCCCTAACTCAGCTCTGATCCCTTTAAGAGCTAGCCGCTTCCTATCCCTCCTACCTCTGCCACGCCTTTGAGGTCACCTAACCCATTTCCCAAAGCTTCTGTCCAGAGCCACAGACACTTCCGAATCAGGGCATGTCTGTGGTTGTCTGGGAGCAAGGAGGATCGCCGGGGTGTCTCTAAACCTGGGACCGCGTAGACGTGGCCTCGTTTCATCCGCTATTATATCTCTGCAAGCGCGGGTGTTTAAACCCTCTTGTAGGAGAGCCATTCAGCCTCGATTGAGGGGGTTTAATGTATAGAGACAAGGAGGTTAATGTATAGAGACATAAGTCTGGATTTAAAGAATGTCACTGACCACGCACACCGTACCCCCATCTTTACTTGTAGCTATTATTAAGTCCCTCCTTGCCAAATGTACTAGGTTAGAAAGGATTCGAAGCCATTCTTCTACAACAGCACTGTCCTAGGGAAACTTCTGTGTTAATAGAAATGTTCTGTATCTGTGCTGTTTGATATATGGGAAGCATTAGCCACGTGTAGCTATTGAGTGCCCGAAATGTGGCAAGTGCAACTGAGGAACTAAATTTTTTAATTTCATCTTATTTTGGTTTATATACATTTAATAGGGCCAGCCGCGGTGGCTCACTCACGCCTGTAATCCTAGCACTCTGGGAGGCCGAGGCGGGAGGATTGCTCGAGCTCAGGAGTTTGAGACCAGCCTGAGCAAGAGCGAGACCCCGTCTCTACTAAAAATAGGGAGAAATTAATTGGCCAACTAAAACTATATAGAAAAAATAAGCCGGGCATGGTGGCACATGCCTGTAGTCCCAGCTACTCGGGAGGCTGAGGCAGGAGGATTGCTTGAGCCCAGGAGTTTGAGGTAAAAAAAAGCATCCCCGCATAAGCAGCTGGTGCAGGGCTGGGCTTCCCCGTCAGACTTGCCCACCTCCTGCCTCCTGACGCCTTCCTCCCTGCTCCTCAGTCCTGGTGGCATCAACTTCCGAGAGACCACACTGGATCCTGGTACCAGACTGTCTACCTGCCTGGTCCTGCTTCTGGGGAGGAGTTCACCCCGGTCAAGAGCATGCGAGAAAACCTTTGAAGGTTCCCACCCCACGCAGGGAGGTGGAAGGAAAGATCAAGGAACCAGTGCCCCCACGGAGGTGAGGGAGGCTCTGTGTGGACAGACCAGGAGCAGACATCTCAAAGGAGAAAGTCAATGTTTACATGAGACCCACGAAACAAAGGCCGCTGTGGCGCGGCTGGCTGCAGGGTAGCAAAGGGGCAGCCCGTGCCCCGCAGGACCGAGGTGCTAGCCCATCTCTCTCTTCCTCAATCCCAGAGCTTCCCTATGCCATGTGGGGGGGGCCTCTAGAGTAGGGGCTTGTTCCATACTCAAATGGATTCCCAGGGGCTTTTTCTAAAGGATCAAAGGGGCCTGGGGAGGAGGGTGTCTGAGGTTAAGCTACAGCGATACCTTCTTCCCCTTTGTAAATAGTATTTTTGTATTTTGTTCTCACCATCTCAGGATTTATATATCCATCCCCAGCATGGGGGGAGGGAGGGGGACCTTTCTGTTTCCTCCTCCTGGGGTGGGTAGGTGGGAGAAAGTTACGTATTTAAGAATTAAATTTAACAAGTTTCTCTAACCTACTTTTGCCTGTGGTTGTGGCCAGTTGACCCTTTTCTGCCAATGGCAAAAAGAAATTTCTCTAACTGCTTCCTCTCACTTCCTTACACCCAAATCAAACATCCATATACAAAAGTTCCTAATCCTTTGTTTTTAAACAAAGACCGATCTTGATTATTACCTGAACAAACACAGGTTAGGACTAACACCAGGGTACATTAAAGACTTGCTAAGCCAGGCTTATTCATCTGACTTCTAGAATGTTTTTAAAAGGAGGTTGATGTTTTGAACCATAGCATTCTGTCAAGTAAGACTTTAAATGAATAGAATTGTACCTGTAATTCAAGTAATCAGCAATGCCCTTACTACAACTAAATACAACTAAAATGGTCCAGGTTGCTACCATAGAGGCTTGATCTCTCTTTTTTTTTTTTTCTTTTGAGGCAGAGTCTCACTCTGTTGGCCTGGCTAGAGTGCCATGGCACCAGCCTAGCTCACAGCAACCTCAGACTCCTGGGCTAAGCGATCTCCTGCCTCAGCCTCTTGAGTAGCTGGGACTACAGGCATGCACCACCATGCCCGGCTAATTTTTTCTATGTATTTTTAGTTGGCCGATTAATTTCTATTTTTTTTTTTTTTTTTTTGAGACAGGTCTCGATTTGTTGCCCAGGCTGGAGTGAGTACCATGGTGTCAGCCTCGACTCATAGCAACCTCAAACTCCTGGGCTCAGCAATCCTCCTGCCTCAGCCTCCCGAGTAGCTGGGAATACAGGCATGCACCCCATGCCCGGCTAACTTTTTGTGTATATTTTTAGTTGGCCAATTAATTATTCCATTTACAGTAGAGACAGGGTCTCGCTCTTGCTCAGGCTGGTTTCGAACTCCTGACTCGAGCAATCTCCCCACGCCTCCCAGAGTGCTAGGACTACAGGCGTGAGCACCGCTCCCAGCCCTCTTTCTATTTTTTGGTAGAGATGGGGGTCTCACTCTTGCTCAGGCTGGTCTTGAACTCCTGACCTCAAGCGATCCACCTCCTCGGCTCCCAGAGTGCTAGGATGACAGGCGTGACCCACTGCCCGGCTGAGGCTTGATCTTTATATGCACTTTTTCTTAGCTGCTAGCTGACAGTCACTGCCACATCTGGCCTCCCAAACTAGATATAGCAGCAGTGCATGGTGACACTGCATGGTGCTGTGTGCACTCTTGACGTCCAGTTTTGCTCTGTCCCTGACGGGGGGGGGGGTATGCCAAGTGCATTGGGAGTGTTGGCAATGGTTTTCTTGGCCATCATGAGCACGGAGCAGCCAGGGCACAGTTGCCCGCTGGGTGTTGAACACAGGAGGAACATTTGCTGAGCAAGCACAGTGTGCAGATGGACGGTAGATACGCAAGAGACATCCGTGCACCCAGAGGTGCGAGGCCCCATAGGTAGGTGTGATCGATTGTGCCATGGAGGCAGTTGGCACAGTTTGAGCTCTTGCTGCACGGCCCCAAGACACAGTGGGGGCACCTGACAGTCCTGGGGAAGTCAGCGACACCTGTCTTGGTCTAGGGTCTTCTGCCCAAGGGCGCACCTGCTCTTGCCACTGCCTTCCCCCTCCCCCCACTTTCCCTTAAATCCCCCATGTCCTGATTGCTCCTGCCAGCCTGCTTTACTGTGGGAATGAAGTGTATTTCCAAAGCAAAACACAGAGCCTTCCCTTTATCTCCTGCTACAGCCTCATGGCAGACACTTTGCTGGGATCAGGTGGGGAAAGCGTGGGTCAGGAGTTCGAAACCAGCCTGAGCAAGAGCGAGACCCCGTCTCTACTATAAATAGAAAGAAATTAATTGGCCAACTAAAAATATAACAGAAAAAAATGAGCCGGGCATGGTGGCGCATGCCTGTAGTCCCAGCTACTCAGGAGGCTGAGGCAGGAGGATCACTTGAGCCCAGGAGATTGAGGTTGCTGTGAGCTAGGCTGACGCCACGGCACTCACTCTAGCCTGGGCAGCAAAGTGAGACTGTGTCTCAAAAAAAAAAAAAGAATCCTCAATTTTTTTTTAGGTCGGGCCTTTAAAACATTTGAGTATCATTTGGGAGCTAAGCCAATTATTCTCCCCTCTGTGAATGATCTACCCACGGACAACTACAGTGTACTTAGTACTGTTCTCATTACAGAAGAATTTGCACCCTGAACATTTTTCAAAAGGTAAAAAAAAAAAAAAAAAAACTGAAGGAGGCTGAGAGATCTTCATGTGTACCAGGATTTCAACTTGAACGATCTTATCTGTGCCAAACACACACCAGCCAGTGAAACATAACAGCACTTAGCCACCAAGTTCTTTCACAAAACACACTGTGTTCTGTTTTCTGTATATGCCCCTCCGAGTTTAGGATTGGGAGAAAAATGTTGAGAAAAGCAAATGGCACGCCCTTGATGACACAGATGATGATGAGTGTTGGACCCAAGGCACAAGCCCAGGTTGTACAGATCTAAGTTCAATGTCAACTTTGCTGCCGCACAGAGATTCAGAAGCTGTCACCCTCCGTGCAGATACCCAAGAGAGTGGCGGGTGCTATCAACTCCTTGGCTGGTGCAGTCAGGGAAGACAAAAACCCCAAGTGTCAAATGAGTTGTGTGTCATTATCTAGGGCCATGGGTTTGTATTGGTTTTTGTTTTGTTTGGTTTGAGGCAGAGTCTCGCTTTGTTGCCCAGGCTAGAGTGAGTGCCCGTATAGTAGAAAAAATTAGCCGGCATGGTGGCATGCCTGTAGTCCCAGCTACTCTGGAGGCTGAGGCAGGAGATCGCTTGAGCCCAGGAGTCTGAGGT